TGAAGCCCACTGAGGGACGGGGCTGCAGCTGCCGTGGCCCAACGAGCGTCGTCTGCCCAAGGGAGACATCACCTTGCAGCTCCCTCACCTGAGAGGAGGAGAGAGAAAAAGGAGAGAAATCACAAAGAGGGAAACCCACCGCTGACCACACTCCGGTGCGGCTTAGGTTAGACCAGTGCTGATAACACCAAGGTGGCGGGTTCGATCCCTGCTCCTTCCCCTGGTGTGGCCTGATCTAGCTGAGAGGCGTCCCTGCCCATGACAGGGAGGTTGGATTAGATGATCTCTAAGGTCCCTTCCAGCCTAGGCCATTCCAGGATTCTGCCAGCACTCGGAGCCACCCCTCCATGAGCGCAGAAGCTGCTGTCCTGCCCGAGAGACCCCCCCCAGCCCAGCAGGGTGGGCACAGCATCCACCTCACCTGGCTCCTTCCAGCACCGCCTGCAGTGATTTCTTCAGCGTCGCGTTGCTCCGATCCAGAGCTGCAGCCAGACTGCTCCGGTGGGCTGGGGTCACCTGGCATGGAAAAGAACGAGGAGCTCGGAGAGCTGTGCTGCCAGGAGCCCACCTGAGACCCCCTGCGTCAGGTTCCAGGCCGGCTACTAGCTCACCAGCTGATCTGCAGGACTCGAGGCTGGTCGTAACTCACCTGGCTTTGGTACACGGTGAGCAGAGCTGTCACCAGCTTGGCGTAATCCAGCGATGTGGTGAAGGCTGGCGCCTGCCGGCACAGAGTCAGGACTAGGAGGTCAAAGAGCTGGGTGGGCAGCACCTCCTGGAAGAGACCCTTGAGTGAGGAGGAGGAGGAGAGCTGGTCCTTGCTCCAGCGCTGCTGGAGCTGGCAAGGAAATATGGGGAGACAACGGCAGGGACCCCCACCCGCCGTCCCCGCACCGCCTGCACCACCGGCAGCTGCACTACCGGCAGGAGCTTCTCGCACAGAGGCAGCTCCAGGACCTGGCTGCAAAGGATGGTGACGAGGAGAAGTGATGCTCACACAGCCTCGCTGCTGCTCCCGAGCAGCTGGAAGCAGCCAGACTCACGGAGCCAGGCGTGAGGGCCAAAGCGGAGCTGTCGCCCCTGTAGTCTCCTACCTTAGCACCAGTCGCACACAGTCTGGCTCCAAGCACTCCTCCACGAGCTCGCACACCAGCCTGGTCTGCTCAGAGCCTGCAAGGGCAAAGCAGAAGGGAGGAAGGGACTCCAGAGGCTGCCAAATCCATGGGGATGTGCCTGGCCCTTCCTGGCACCCCTTCGCACAGGGGTACAACCCAGTCGGGACACCCAGAAACCACGTACTGCCCCCTTGACCTGTTGGGGATAATCCAAGGTATAATTAGCACCAGTCCCTGGAGAAAGAGGATGCCGCTGTGTGAGGGATTCACACAGAGCCACCCTGGGACAGTTCTGGCCCCAGCCTGAGGAGCTGTCAGGACCGCACCCACGGAGCGATGGCAGCCGTCCTTTGGGAGACCCGACGCTGGAACCCAGCCTGGCCTCCTCTCCATCTATAAACCCATCTCCCATCCTAACTCCCAAGTATTCACTGCCCAGACAAAACCAACACCATTATTCCTTAGTTCCTAACATGCGTTTTGGGTGACAAATGCCTCCCAGGAGACACCACCGTGCCTTTGGGGCTTCTTTTCCTGCTGGACGCAGCCCGTGGCCCCTCTCCAGCTCCCTCAGCTGCTCCCAGCAGCAGCTGTGCCTCCTCCCAGCCCATCGCACCTTCCCCTGGCTCCCGCAGGACTGCAGCCACCAGGACACGACAGAAGGGCTGGGAATATCTGGAGCAAAACGAAGCGAGCGCCCCCATGAGGTGGCGGGAGGGTGGCTGGGTGAGGGACAGGACCTAGGGACAGAAAAGGCAGGAGATGGGGACGGCAGTGAGGGAAACGGGGCGTGGAGAGCCTGCGCTGCCCTCACACGTACTCGCCTGAGGAAGAGCTGCTCTGCCAGGATGGCTGCGCTGGTGTAGCTGAGGTCGGGGGTGAGAGCCAGCAGCCAGCTGCAGAAACGCACCAAGAGATATTCCGGGCACGTGGAGAGCTGGAGGAAGGAGCAGAGCCCCTCGAGCTGGGGACAGAGCAGAGGGGAGAGGGACATTAGAGACAGCAGCGGGTCCCTCCACGCACCAGGAGCAAGGGTGCCGAGGCTCACCTGGCTGGGAGAGCAGGTGGTCAGGACGCGGAGTTCGGGAAGGATGCTCAGCTCCGAGTGCTGCAGGAAAACAACGGTCCTTGAGCACTAAACCAAATAAACCAACCCACAAAACACAGCTCCAGGGCTCTTCTCTTCCCTACCGCACTCACCCCATCACACGGCAAATCCCCGTGAGGTGGGGGCAGGTATTAGTACCTAAGCCCAGAGGACACGGCAGCAGGGCTGTACATTATTGCCCACCCAAACCATCCTTGTGAAGCCCACCTTCCCTCCCATCCCTTCTGGGGGCCCGGGCACGAGCCTGTTCAAAGCATCAGCTCCAGGACAGAGACAGAAGCAACCACTTACGTTGCACTCTTTCTGCAGCAGTATTTTCAGCCTCTGTCCGTGCATCTGAAGAAAAGGAGACGAAGGAATAGAAATCAGATTGTAAAAGCTCGCCGGCTGGAAGGGAAAAGCAAACCCTGCCTGGTACCTGGAGAAAGGACTGGATCTCCGCTGCCAGCTCTGCCTGGGAAGTCCTCCTGGATTCCCCAGTTGTGTCCTGCTGGGAGCTTTCCGGAGAGACCCCAGCCGGGCTCTGTGCAGATCTGTCCCCTGAAGGCTCCTCGGGCATCTCCTCTTCCACATTTCCACCCTCCTGGGTTGCTGGGGGGTCAAATGCTGCCGCCTCCTCCAGCGGCAACTTCTTCTCCTCTCTCTTCTCATCCAGCTCCAGGCTTTCCTCTGACACTTTCTTGCACTTCCCACCTTGAAGCACAGAGTCAGTCACATCCCCAGCGGCACCGGGCTGCTTGTTGAAGCACCAGTTCCATTTTCTTCGCCTCTCTGGTTTGTTCTGGGCAATTTTCCGGCAGAGGCACCTCAGCTGCTGCTGGCATGCAGC